AGGCTTTAAGCCTAAACCCCAAACCTAATGGTTGCAGACATTTTCGGCAGAATTGGTTGAATATATATATATATATGGTAGTATCACATGGATGTTGTCACATTGGGATATATATATATATATATATATATATATGTATAGCAGCGTCACATCAGGCAGGTATATATATATGTATAGCAGCGTCACATCAGGCAGGTTTATATATATATATATATATATATATATATACACACACATATATATGCTGATTGCATGGCCGACAAATCACATCAGGCAATCTGGTTTACATGTATATATGGGCAGGCCTGGAAATTTTTATTGACCTCGGCCCCAATTACTCTCGGCCTCGGCCCTGCTCGACCCCAATTATTCTCGGCCTTGGCCCTGCTTTATGATATTACCAGAACAGAGGTGACTTTAATGCCGAGGAACAAAATTTGTTTCGGCAATACGACGAGATGTTGTTGGCTATGAACCAGTTAATTTCCTTAGCCATTCGGCTTACGAGCCGAAGCTCAAGGAAACTGGGGGGCTGTGTTTGGACCCAAAATTACATCATCGGCCCGTACAATCAAGGCCGTTAGGTGGGCATAGCTCCTAACCGTCGGATGAAAAGTGAATTACATATATTTTTAATATATTTCACGATAATTATTCTGATATCAAGATATTATCCATCAAAGTGATTATCTTGGAGTTTATGTTAAAGTATTTTTACGTCAACAAAAAGATTTTTTCTCCAACATGATTATAGTTATATTTCATCTTATCATGTAGTCTACGGCAGTTAGAAGTCTAATTCACTAATGATATACTCGATGGGGTTCAACTTGATGAGGCATCTGTAGTATTTTCACTTGGCCGGTCAAATAGGGATATGCCACGTGAGTTATATCATGCATGGGATGAGCAAGAGATAAGGATGGCATACCATGAATTATCGGAATTGTTTCCCAGAGTCATCACCATGTATGCACGTGGTCAAGTATTTGAAATTTTGAGCCTGGCTATCACCGATTCAAGTTGTGATAATCGTTAGTAAAGGGATTAGCTTATCAAGAGTTAAAAAATGGCGGTGATATCGTGTATTAGCACGGGGAGGAGGTGGTAAAGTTGCAATTAGAGTCCACAAAATTATCAACCGCATACTCGTCCCTATAAATACAAGACTCGGTGCAACGGGAGAGGACCTCCAATTCAACACCACAAAATTGCCGTGCGCAAACCCTCTCAACAACTTTGAGATTTTTCTATTTTCTTTTTCGCCAACACATCTTCAATTTGGATAAACAGTACTGTGAAGGCAACCGGTGATATCTTCAGTCGGTATAGATAGCACTGTCACCGTAGAATCAGTCGGTCTCGCAGCATCTTCAGTCGGCATAGATAGCATTGCGTCGAGGGTGACTAGTTATCTATCCAAGTCTCAGTCGAGAAGATTTTTGAATCTTTATTGGCAGAGGTCATCTCATTAGCCTTTTGGGCGAAGTTGGGTGTTACAAATTATTACATTCGGCACATTGAAAGCCAAATTTGATATTGAACTTCGCAGAACTAGCAGCCTTGTCTTCAGGCTCTAGAACCCGAAGGTCGAGAGTGTTCCTTCCTCGGCCGCAGTCGCAAGATTCAGAAGTCAGCAGCGCACCCAACGCAACATCAACAAATTTTACTCCTCGCCCGAGCTCGGCCGACGAGTTGGCACGTCGCACATACAACCGAATGACGTAGTTAGCTCATAGATTACTCGGCATACGCACCACGTAGGCTTGGTAGTTTTTAGGGTCAACAACAACATATATTACTGAATTTAATGGCTGAATGTGTGATCAAGAATCCACAAATATCTAGCAAGTGGAATATCTAAGCAACTTACACTAGTAAAAAAAAAACTCTTGTGTGACGAAACACACATCATCATCCAAAGTCACTTTGCGCGACGAAACTCTAAACTTCGTCGCTCAAAGTCTTGCGTGACAAAATTTTGTGCGACGAAACAACATTGTTGCGCAAAGTCTTGAACGACGAAATTTTGTTCAACAAAAAAACACATCGTCATGCAAAGTGTCACATCTCGGCCCGGGCCCCCACCACATCTCAGGCTCGACTCCGTCGTAGCACGATATTATCCGCTTTGGGCCCCGACCACGCCCTCACGGTTTTGTTTCTGGGAACTCACACGAGAACTTCCCAGTGGGTCACCCATCATGGGATTGCTCTCGCGCGAACTCACTTAACTTCAAAGTTCCGATGAACCTGAAGCCAGTGAGCTCCCAAAAAGTCTCATGCTAGGAAAAGATGGGAATATACATATAAGGCTTACATGATCCACCTCCTGGGCGATGTGAGATGTTACACAAAGTCTTTACAAAAATAAATAAAATAAAAAATTATTTTTTAAAATCTTTGCGCGACGTAATTCAAATATTTCGTCGCCTAAACCAATTTATTTTCGTTTTTTACTTTGTACGTATAACACTTAAGAAATTGAACGGTATATATATTTGTTAAGTAGCTTTAAATTTATTATTGTAGTTCGGATCGGGTTTTTGTTAGAAAAATATATTATTGTAGTTCGGATCAGATTTTTGTTAGAAAAATATATTTTAAATTGACGATCGAATTAATTCATTGTATTCATATAGGGTCAAGGAGTGTAACTGTAAAAAAAACATCAAAATCGAAGTTGAAATAACCGTTAAATCGTGATTTTTAGTTTATAACCGTCAAAAAGTTTTGTCTCATTCCTTGATCTCTAAATGTTTGTTTTTTGCGATTTTTGGCGTACATGATCTCGAAGTATATACAAACAAGTTTGATCGTTGGATCGTTGAAGCTAGTTTCGTAAAATGCGTATCCCATTATTATTTTTATATTTTATATTGTTAAACTAAATTATTTTTTTATTTTTTATTATTTTCTTTGCGCGACGAATACACATTTGGTCGCCTAAACCTTATTTATTTTAATTTATTTGTATTTTAAATTGTAAAAAATTATTTTCTTTTTTATTATTTATAAAAATTATTTTTATAAATTTTGCTCTACGAACCAATATTTCGTCACGCATAATCCTTAAATTTGGACGGAAGCCAAAAACAGGACTTGGGGATTTTTTTTAAGACTTTGCGCAACCAATTTTTTGTCGCTCAAAACTTTGCGCGACCAACACTTCTTCACGCAAAACTCTAAAAATTTGGGCGGGCACCAAAAATGGGACGCGGAATTTTTTTTTAAGACTTTGTGCAACCAATATTTCATTGCGCAAACTCATATCCTTCGTCGCGCAAAGTGTTACGGCTTTTAAAACCAAAATAACTCCTCCACCATTTTCTCAATGTTTTTCTCTACTCTTACCTCTCCTCTCCCTTTCCCTCTCCCCAAATCTGATCCTCTCTGTCACACTCACTTCTCTCACTTAATCTCTCTTCTCTTTTTTCACTATCTCTCACTTTCACTCACTCTCTCATCTCTCTCTCACTATCTCCTCTAATTCTTTCACACTCACTCCTCCCTCTCTCATTCTCACTCACTCTCAATCTTGCCAAAAGGTATATTCTCCCCAAAAAAAAAATTCATTAATGTGTATTTGGAGTTAGTTTGAGTTTGGTGTGGGGTTTGGGGTCGAGTATAGGATGAGGAGTGAAGTTTGGGGTCGGATTTGGGGTATACCAATTTTAGGGGAGATTATGCCAATTTTTTATTATTATTTTTTGTTATTTTTCTGTTATTTGACTATATTTTTTTTTGTAGGGAATCGTCGTGACTTTGACGGCTAAAGTTGAGGATTAAGACGCTATCAAAACATATCCGCTGCCACTACCACCACAATAGACTTGTATTAGGATTTTATTATTGTACTTTGTTAATTTATGTGTACATTTTGAATATATTATATATATTGGATAATTTGATCACTATTTTTCATATGTAATTTTATTTTGAATATGTCAATTTAAATTAAAGTAATTAAAAATATCATACAATTAAATTAAATTAAAAAAGTAAAAATTCGAAAAATCTTACGGTACCAAATATTTCATTGCATAAACAATTAATATAATTAAATTAATATAAGAGAAATAATAAAACAAAAAGTCAAAAAGCTTGCGCGACAAAATATTTCGTCGTGCAAAATATTAAATTAATTTATTTTAATTTAAAATTTTAAAATATTTCGTCCCGCAAAGTTACTTTGCGCGACAAACTTCGTCATCGCGCAAAGTAGCTTTGCGCGACAAAGATTAATTTTCATCATGCAAACTCTATCGTCACGAACCATGCACGATCAAACTTTCATCTCACAAGGTTTTGCGCGACGAAATTGTACTTTGCGCAACAAACTTGTTTCGTCGCGCAAAGTGTTTTTTGTAGTAGTGTTAAAATGCATTGATGTATAGTAGGGACTCAAAGTGCATACCACATATCTAAATATTTGGAAGAAATCTTTAGAGGACAGACATAAACATCTGCAAGGCCTGCCAATCCAAATGAAAATTCATAAATCAAACAGCTCTCGCATAAGTATACAATAAACGATCTTATTTGAATGAAATTTGGTGGAAATGATTTGGTGGGGTGATTGATTGAGAAGTTTGGGACACTTTTTGAGGTTTTGATTTGGGATTAGGGATTAGGGATTAGGGATTTGAATTGAAATATAAGACGAATGAATTGGATTTGTATATGTAAATTAGGCCAATTGATTAAAATAGTGTACCTGCTCTCTTGTTTCCTAGTTCAATCTTCCTTTTAGATTTGACTATTTGTAACTTTTCTTGTCCAAGATAGAGGGAATATATAGGGTAAAATAAAGAACCGAAATGGTGGATTGGACGTAGGATAAGAAATAAAAACAAAACCTACTAGAAATTGATTTTAGTTTTCAGTTTTCATTTTGTTTACTCTTTCCTAACCTCCCGCCGCCATTCCTCCATCTTTGCTCATCCCTCCTTTATCCTTTATATTCCCCCTCTATACATAACAAAAAAAAAAAAAATCCAGAGAGAAAATCAAAGGATTCACATTGAAAGGTAAAGTACATACATTGTTCAACTTATTCACAGACCAGCACCGGAAAGTGCAAATCCAACTGTTCCGCAGCTAAAACGTTCGAAAAGAAATTCCGACAGATACATTTCAATCTTGCTTCTGGGTTGGTACGGTCTGTCTCCAGAATCCTGCCAAGGCACTACCCAAGATTGAATGAGAACGCTGGAAACAGCACATGGTACCGCAGTTAGAGGGTTTCCGAAGTGCTGACCGGCTAGAACAATTCCAAGCACCGAATTCTGAAACATAGAAGAGCCGATAACAACACTAGAAGACAACTGATAACGCATACAAATTGACATGGATTCTTTCAATCATATATACACACACATCACACGTGTGCGCACCCACACAATACAAGCAATCATATGGCTTTGGTTCAGAATGAAATTAACAATTGACTGTAATGTCGTTTCGATTGAATAAATGAATGCAAAGTCTTTTCACTAGAAAGTAAATAGCAGTGGAAAAGCTGTGAAACTCTCTTTTAAAAAATCCAGAAGAAAAAAAACAATCCAATGATGCTTACCTGCATGCCAACCTCGATGGAGATAGTCCTTGATGATGTGACATCGAGCCCAAGCATCCTTGAAAAGATGTATCCAAAGAAAAATCCACTTGCATGAAGAAGAGCGGAAGCAAGCACCACTTGTTTACCAGATGTAAGGATTGCAGATGAACTCTGGGCAATTGCATTCCCACAAAGAACACCTACAGTTGCTACAGCAATGGGTGGCATCACGGGGGAGACGAATTTAACCAGGCCTTGGAAATACTGATTCAGAAATGCACCCGCCAAAACAGGGAGAAGCACAACCTGTGTTCAAAGCATATGGTACCTTTATATAATTTAAAACAGCAACAGCTATAACAAGACAAAGGCAAAACGATTGAAAGCTTACCTGCAGTGTTGAGAATAAGAGCCCAGCTGCATCTACGGCAACATATTGGCCGGCAAGTTTAGCTGTGAGAAATGGGGTCATGATCTACAATATAAAAGGGTAAAAGAAGTAAGGTTCCTTGAAAAAAGCTTATAATTTAAGTCATTAGTAATAGTAACAACAACAACAACAACAACAAAGCCTTTTCCCACTAAGTGGGGTCGGCTATGAATCCTAGAACGCCATTGCGCTCGGTTTTGTGTCATGTCCTCCGTTAGATCCAAGTACTCTAAGTCTTTTCTTAGAGTCTCTTCCAAAGTTTTCATAGGTCTTCCTCTACCCCTTCGGCCCTGAACCTCTGTTCCGTAGTCACATCTTCGAACCGGAGCGTCAGTCGGCCTTCTTTGCACATGTCCAAATCACCGGAGCCGATTTTCTCTCATCTTTCCTACAATTTCGGCTACTCCTACTTTACCTCGGATATCCTCATTCCCAATCTTATCATTTCTCGTGTGCCCACACATCCCACGAAGCATCCTCATCTCCGCTACACCCATTTTGTGTACGTGTTGATGCTTCACCGCCCAACATTCTGTGCCATACAACATCGCTGGCCTTATTGCCGTCCTATAAAATTTTCCCTTGAGCTTCAGTGGCCTACGACGGTCACACAACACGCCGGATGCACTCTTACACTTCATCCATCCAGCTCGTATTCTATGGTTGAGATCTCCATCTAATTCTCCGTTCTCTTGCAAGATAGATCCTAGGTAGCGAAAACGGTCGCTTTTTGTGATCTTCGCTAGATTGCTCCAGTCATTAGTGTGGATAAGTATATAAATGGATAGAGATAGGAAAGCAAACACAAGATGTACGTGGTTCACCCAGATTGGCTACGTCCACGGAATAGAAGAGTTCTCATTAATTGTGAAGGGTTTACACAAGTACATAGGTTCAAGCTCTCCTTTAGTGAGTACAAGTGAATGATTTATTACAAATGACATTAGGAAATATTATGGGAGAATGATCTCTTAATCACGAAACTTCTAAGTATCGGAGTGTGGTGTCGTCTTGACTTGCCTTATCTGTCTCATAGGTAGATGTGGCATCTTCTCTGGAAGTACTCTTCCTCCATCCAGGGGTGGTATCTTTAACTGGTGGAGATGCACAAGGTAATGTATCAATTTCACTTGAAGCTTACTTGTAGTTTCAGGCTTGGTCAAGCGCGATACAAACCATGTAGTAGGAGTCCCCCAAGTCGCCGAGCTAGGGGGTCTGCTGAAAGAGGTGACAGATAAGGTAAGCAATCAGAGCTCCGACTGATTGTTCACCTTCTCCCCATCTTGCAGCAGCATGAAGGATAAAGAGAAGAAAAATGAGAAGAGATGATATGAGATACTTTTGCTTTTGAAGAAGTAACTTTCCACAGGCTTATTCTTGAACTGAGCTGAAGGGTTTTCTGGTTTCCTCCAGAGTATAAGGCCGACTGGAGAATTTGAGGGTCAAAAACAAGTCCATCAAATCTAGAGTACGTTCCACCCTGCTGATATGGGATACTTTTGCTTTTGACAGAGTAATGGATGTATCGGCACGTGTGCTGTTACGCTTGTCTCCACATGCTTCCTTGTATCCTTCGCACTTGCCCTATCTGTTCCTCAAGCAGATGCGGAATCTTCCCTGGAAACATAAGATGTTGAAGATGAGTACTCGAGAGCAATGTCAGGTAAGTAATCAGGTAAGGGGTTCCAGGAAGTCAGTTCCTGGCTGGAAGCTTGATTCCAAGTGCTGACTGATTGCTCTCTTTCTCCTTGTCTTGCAGGTAAAAACAAGGCCAAAGGAAAAGACAGGGAAAAAAGCATGATATGGGATACTCTTGCTTTTAACCCTGATGATATGAGATATTCTTGCTCTAGTATAGCTTGTTTGCAGAGGTATTATCGGGGGGAAAGAAAGCTGAATATTTCGAAAGGCTTCGTTGGGAGTGCCCTCTCAGATATGATGAAGGGTTGAGCATTTTTGCAGGTCTGCCTGTCCGTTGGGGATGGAGGTCGACATATATAGGAGTCTCCCTAACAACAAGTAGTAATGTTATTCCTTTACCCTGCTTGGTCATAGCACAATAGTGGGAGCTGCCAGTTTCACATGTTTTAACTCTGTCAGAGCACTTTGAAAAAAGTGGTCTGTGGTATCTGGCTCTCGAGATTCGGAGAACGATGCCTCTTCGATTTTTGAGAAAGCAATCATGCTGGGGGTCTGGCTCTCGAGATTCGGAGAGCAGTGTCTCTTCGATTTTTGAGGAAGTAATCATGTTGGGAGTCTGGCTCTCGAGATTCGGAGGGCGGTGCCTCTTCGATTTTGGAGCAAGCAATCTTGTTGGGAGTGTTGTCTCGAATGTGAGTAAAGGTTGGGCATGTTTGCTAGTCTACCTTGCCACGAAGCACAAAGGTTGACACACAGGGACTTTCCAATTATCCAGCAATGGTACTGTTCCTTTACCCTCTCTTCGATTTTGAGAAAGTAGTCATGTTGGGAGTCTGGCTCTCGAGAATCGGAGGACGGTGCCTCTTCGATTTTGGAGCAAGCAATCTTGTTGGGAGTGTTTTCTCGAATGTGAGTAAAGGTTGGGCATGTTTGCTAGTCTACCTTGCCACGAAGCACAGAGGTTGACACACAGGGACTTTCCAATTATCCAGCAGTGGTACTGTTCCTTTACCCTTGTGGGTAATAATATGGTAGCTAGACCTTCAAAATTTATGTGTCTAAACTTTGTTAGTGTTGTTTCTTTGCAATTCTTTTACCCTTCTTGGTCAGAGCGATGTAGTGGGAGCTGCAAGCTTCACGTGTCTCAACTTTGTCAGAGAACTTTGGCAAAGTTATCTGTGGTACCCATGAGCTATTGTTGCGTGTGGGAAGTGGGTGATTGAACAGTAAGATTCATGTGCTTTCTACTTCACCAGAAGTCTTCGACAGAATGCCCATAATTTCTGCAAAGCTGAGTGTGCGTGTGACAGGTGCTGACAAGGCTAGAAAAGTAGGTGCCTCTTCGATTTCTGAGATCGGCCCTCGTGGTCTCAAAGCAGCCCAGCTTTTGAGAAAGCGAGCGCCTCTTCGATTGATTCGGAGAACGATGCCTCATCGATTTTTGAGAAAGCAATCATGCTGGGGGTCTGGCTCTCGAAGATTCGGGGAGCAGTCTCTTCGATTTTTGAGAAAGTAATCATGTTGGGAGTCTGGCTCTCGAGATTCGGAGGGCGGTGCCTCTTCGATTTTGGAGCAAGCAATCTTGTTGGGAGTGTTTTCTCGAATGTGAGTAAAGGTTGGGCATGTTTGCTAGTCTACCTTGCCACGAAGCACAGAGGTTGACACACAGGGACTTTCCAATTATCCAGCAGTGGTACTGTTCCTTTACCCTTGTGGGTAATAATATGGTAGCTAGACCTTCAAAATTTATGGGTCTAAACTTTGTTAGTGCTGTTTCTTTGCTATTCTTTTACCCTTCTTGGTCAGAGCGATGTAGTGGGAGCTGCAAGCTTCACGTGCTCAACTTTGGCAAAGTTATCTGTGGTACCCATGAGCTATTGTTGCGTGTGGGAAGTGGGTGATTGAACAGTAAGATTCATGTGTTTTCTACTTCCCCAGAAGTCTTCGACAGAATGCCCATAATTTCCGCAAAGCTGAGTGTGCGTGTGACAGGTGCTGACAAGGCTGGAAAAGTAGGTGCCTCTTCGATTTCTAAGATCGGCCCTCGTGGTCTCTGGGTAGCCCAGCTTTTGAGAAAGCGAGCGCCTCTTCGATTTCTGAGATCGGCCTTCGTGGTCTTTGAGCAGCCCAACTTTTGAGAAAGCAAACGCCTCTTCGATTTCTGAGATCAACCCTCGTGATCTCTAAGCAGCCCAGCTTTTGAGAAAGCAAACGCCTCTTCGATTTCTGAGCAGAGCAGGCGCCTCTTCGATTTCTGAAGCTCCGTCGAGTGCAGATTTTTATAGGGGCTGGCATTAAGTTCCAAAGCACACTTGAATCTCCACCAGTAGTAGAAGCTTCATTCTTGCACTTCTAAGATCTTGATTTGTCCGACCTCTTCTCTCTTCAACAACTTTGAAAATGTCTGGCCCCTCCGACCGTCGTTTTGACTTGAACCTTGTTGAAGAGGCAGCCCCGCCTTCTCCAGACAACATATGGCGCCCATCCTTCGTCTCCCCTACTGGTCCTCTTACCGTTGGGGATTCCGTGATGAAGAATGATATGACCGCTGCGGTGGTGTCCAGGAACCTTCTCACTCCCAAAGATAACAGACTACTTTCCAAACGGTCTGATGAGTTAGCTGTTAAGGATTCGCTGGCTCTCAGTGTTCAGTGTGCAGGTTCTGTGTCTAATATGGCCCAACGCCTATTTGCTCGAACCCGCCAAGTTGAATCATTGGCGGCTGAAGTGATGAGTCTCAAACAGGAGATTAGAGGGCTCAAGCATGAGAATAAACAGTTGCACCGGCTCGCACATGACTATGCTACAAACATGAAGAGGAAGCTTGACCAGATGAAGGAAACTGATGGTCAAGTTTTACTTGATCATCAGAGATTTGTGGGTTTGTTCCAAAGGCATTTATTGCCTTCGTCTTCTGGGGCTGTACCGCGTAATAAAGCTCCAAATGATCAACCTCTGATGCCTCCTCCTTCTAGGGTTCTGTCCAGTACTGAGGCTCCAAATGATCCCCCTCCGGTGCCTTCTCTTTCTGGGGCTCTACCGACTGCTGAGACTTCTCCTAAGCAACCTTTATGAAGGCTCCCTCTTGTGTGTTTATTTTGACTCATGTATATGTACATATTTGTAGCTTATTGGGGATATCAATAAATAAGATTTCCTTCATTTCAACGTACTGTGTTAAAAACACCAAAGCCTTCTTCGCTAAGTTCTTTGAATTTTCTTTTGTTGAAGCTTGTATGTTGAAGCTTTCTGAGTGGAGCATGTAGGTTGGGGTAGTGTTCCCTTAATTTTCCGAGTGAGGAAAACTTCTCGGTTGGAGACTTGGAAAATCCAAGTCACTGAGTGGGATCGGCTATATGAATCTTAGAACGCCATTGTGCTCGATCCTGTGTCATGTCCTTCGTTAGATCCAAGTACTCTAAGTCTTTTCTTAGAGTCTCTTCCAAAGTTTTCCTAGGTCTTCCTCTACCCCTTCGGCCCTGAATCTCTGTCCCATAGTCGCATCTTCTAATCGGAGCGTCAGTAGGCCTTCTTTGCACATGTCCAAACCACCGTAACCGATTTTCTCTCATCTTTCCTTCAATTTCGGCTACTCCTACTTTACCCCGGATATCCTCATTCCTAATCTTATCCTTTCTCGTGTGCCCACACATCCAACGAAGCATCCTCATCTCCGCTACACCCATTTTGTGTACGTGTTGATGTTTCACCGCCCAACATTCTGTGCCATACAGCATCGCCGGTCTTATTGCCGTCCTATAAAATTTTCCCTTGAGCTTCAGTGGCATACGGCGATGATTATAAATCCAAACAAGAGAATTGGTCATTTCAATTTAAAAATTCTGATTTTTGTCCAAATTTCAAGTTTATTTCCCATGTCCAAACGGTGGGTTAAGGTCTAATCTTTCAGCAGATCACTTTAGGTTGAGAATCGAACAAAGGAAAATTTTACTCATAATTCATATTTACCAAATCATTTCCAAAGGGAGATAGTTTGATGCTCCCCGTAGCTTTTGACAGGCAAAAGAAATTGATATGACAGAATGTTAATTAAAATTTAATTTTTCCGCAAGTTTTAGCAGAAAATTTGATTCAAACTTATCTTTCTAACCAGTTTTCAATGTATGTGCAAAAATTTGGACCATACCAGTTCACCACTTAAAGAACAAAAAAATATCAAAAGAAATTTATGTCAGTTTACCAACCACAGCTGATAAAGTGCTTGCTGCTGTCATTAAAACCGAAAGTGCCACATTTCCACTGCAAAAACAACAAGGTCATCAGATCCTCTGGCCAGGAGAGGGGAAAAAAGTAAAGTAGACTTTTGTCACCCTAGTTTTTGAAAGTTTTAGTATCATCCCTTTCGGTCTTATTCATCTGAGAAGCAAGATGGTAAGCAAGGTGCAAGTGAAATGAAGGCGTGCCAATCCTGTAATATTTTTTTAATATAACATACCCATCCAACTCACCAACACTCTGTTGGGGCTGGCAACATAAAGGGGTGGGACAATTACGACAAGTTGATACTATTTCAGATGATTCATGTACCGTGCAATATAAGTTACAATGTTACTTGCTGTTCCTGCAAAGAATTAACCGGGGAAAAATTGTATTCAGAAAGAGCGGTGAAGATTGAGTAAACATAACAACGATATCTACGAAAAGACTGGCACAGATACATACCACCTGGGCAGCAACCAACCAATATCAAACCAGCTGCATAATACGATGGCAAATTCAAAAGCTTGCTCACAAAATATCCTGATAAAGGCATCACCTGCAAGTAGCACTCACCATTTAAATCGTAAATGTTACATATTTGCGCCTAAACAGATCAAAGGACACATAACCATAAGTTTTAACCCCAGTACAAAACAACATGGAGTTTGAAATGTTTGCAAGATCAAAGTTGTTGACACTGGAGCCTAAGATAACAGGAGGCTGAACACTGCAAGGGTAACTAAGAGTGCTAAACAAATTTATATATTCGGAGTCGCCAAAAACAAAGACATTTCCTTGAAGGCTTGAACTGGAAAATTAATACAAATATCAATGATTTTATGTGATATGAACACAAAGGCTAATGACTACAACAATGAGCTATATGCATCAAACAAAATGTATTGAACGGCATTCAGTATTCGATTCAATTATGTACTAATTAAATATAAGCATTAATATACATATGAAATGTGGAGCTACAGACCGAGTACTGAAGAACAAAGCCAGCAAGCAACTCCTTGGGCATAGCCAAGGCGCCACGAAGGTCGGCGAAAGTGAGGGTCATGCCCATGCCGAGCATGGTCAGTGTCAAACCTAAGATGTTGTAGTTGGGTGTGACCCAATTGAAGGAGCTCGGCTTGAGCAGCCCCAACAGGCACCCCAAAGCAACCCAAATCGGAAATGCAGTCGACACAGCCTCACCAACCAGTTCAACCCAATCTCTGAAACTCCTAGTCGCATTTGCGTTGGAGTTGTTCGACGAAATGCCGCAGTGAAGCGGAGCTAGTGGTAATCGTGCGTTCTTGGCTGTTGGTATCGGTGAAAAGGGATTCGAGGGTAGATGCCAAGTGGGTTTGCTGGGAAATTGTGGTTGCAATTGTGGTTGCGAGTTGCAGTGGGATCTTAGAGCGAGCTGAATGGAAGAAGAGGAAAGAGATGTGTTGGTGTAGTGAGAGAACGGGAATGATTTGGATGTCGGTGGCGATTGGTTTGAAATGGGGTTCGGTTGGAATTTGAAGAAGCCTGTGATTCCATGGGGATATGAGAGTGACGACTGCATTTTCCCTCTCCGGCTAGTGAGTACTTGATTTCGCTTTCAGGTGTTTACAGTGTTTTGCAACTGGCTCTTCGTCATCTAACATGCACATGGCAGTCAAGATCTAAAATTCTGTTATCCACACACCTATTTTTACTTTTCACACACCTTTGTTAATTTATATCCGTTGATATTCTTCAATTCATCCGATCCGACAGCCGAAAACCCAAAAGGTGTGGGAGAAGTAAAAAGGGGTGTGTGAATATCACACCCCTTCTCTTAACGAGGCACTTCCAACAAGAGAAATTTAAAAAAGTAACCATATTTTAGATCTCATAAAGAATTATAATCATTATTTTAGTTTTATGATAATTCTAACCAAAACTTGATGTAAAAGTACTAATATACCTTTAATAACAAAAAAATTCACCATTGCTCTTAACCATGAAAAAACAATAATTAATTAAAATCTTGAAGCATTAAAGAGATAGCCTCTTGAATACTACCCAGTACCCCTACTCTCGAACCCCTCCATTTCCTACACTCTTTTTTAATTAATATAAATAAATAAATATATATATATAGTAGATATTGATAATCAAATGTAATCAGAGAACATGAAAAATGAAGATAACCTAGTAAACTAAACATAAAACCATGAGAAATCGGTAAAGGGTGCTCTTTTGGTTTTTGGTTTAAGGTGAGAAACCAGATGGTTGCGAGAGAGTTTAAATGAGGTTTTGTTTTTGTTATGAGAAACTCTAATATTAAGGGTATATTAGTACTTTTACATCAAGTTTTGGTTAGAATTATCATACAACTAAAATGGTGGTTATAGTTCTATATAGAGTCTAAAATATAGTTACTTTTCCAAATTTTCCTTCCAACAACGGATGGCACTTGAAAATGATAACCATATCAAAGTTGATTTTCGGACATTTTCTCCTTCTCGACGCCTCTCTATTTGTATTTTTTTATTTTCTTTTGATTCCATGCAAAAGGGCTAAAGAAAAACGTATTGGAAGAGAAAAGGGGTCTGATACGATTTGAGATCATAAAAAGTAGAGGATAGCTTTAATGAACGTTTTCAGTTTTCTTAAAATCTTCATTAGTTTTCAAATATGACATTGTTTACCATTATTGTGTTTCTCATGCATTCTCCCTTCTGTAATAAAGCAACCACCACCACCTCATTTCCACTTCCACCGTCGCCACCATTTTCCAGAAGCCACCACCAATTATGCCACCAACACCCTCATAATCACCGCCGCCGCCACCATATACCACATTACCTATACGTTCGGTATCAACCCCCCGTCTACATTACCTACGGTATGTATCCAACTCCGTTTCATCTTGGGCTCGATTCCGAAATTTGTATTCATAAGTTTCCACCTACAATAATGCATGCAGGGAAAAGGGAACTTTGTAAATATATCAAAACAAACCCAGGAGATTTATAATACCAAGCAAAAGACTACCCTCAATTTACCCTGAAAAATAGAAAGTTACCCTTCCAATCCAATCCCAGAGACCGAAAAAGGCTTAAGATTAGGTTGTTTTTTTCCAATCATATAACAATTTCTTTCTGTTTTTTGGTATCATGTTCAATGTAATTCAATAGGGTAAAGAACATTAACAGGATCGTTTATTTTTCGCTCACCGTCGATTTGCTCATAACTGTGTTATCTCACTTTGGAGACTCCTCTTCAGGGAAAAGGGTTCTCCGTCATAAAACTAAAAACCATTATGGCGTTGGCGTGTTTGGATGAGGAATTTCCAAGTACCAAGAGATTTAGTCAAAATTATTTAGAGGTGCACTAGAAAACATTAGATAGATGGATTGAAAATACGCTACATGAGCATTACAAAGCGACTAAATAACGGCTTCTCAAATGGCTCCTTGTAAGCAGTCATTTCAAATGCATCAATCAAATGCTCTGCAGTGCACTTCTACAGTCCTTCCTAAGTCCCTTGGTACTACTACAATCCCTCGTCCAAACACAACATTAGTATCTTAGAAACGCCTGATTAAAGTAGTACGTAGTGCGCAGGAGGATACCATTTATGGTCGGCCAACATACGATCATAAGATCGAACCGCCTGGTTGTTTGTTCGTTGCATTAAGATAACAGGGAACCAAACCATTCTTGCCTTTAGCTTGTGCCGCAATAAGAAATCACCACCTGAGAATATAATTCAACTTACCAAATAAATTGCATACAACAAAACTCTTTGAATATATGCAAATGCTTGCAATAAATTCATAAAAACATTTGCATACAAACGTAACAATGCAAATAATGTCGAGCCAAACATGGTTAGCACTTGTGAATCATGTTTATTGACCCGCAAAATCGGACACGATTATTTGATTTTCAATGTGTTCCTATGGAGCAATCATACACTAAACTCCAACAACTGCGTCCACAAGACTTCTAGACTAGGTTGAAATACTACTAGAAGGATTTCAGTGGGTTATTACGAAGCAATCAATTGCTCAGCCCCAAATGGATCATCAACTGTGTCCACAGTAAAGCTTTCACAAGGCATTTCCATAAGAGGAACTAGGTTGACGACTCTAAAAGGAAGGTTTTTGGCCTCTACCACAAATTGAAGCTGACCAATTCAGATAGTAAGGAGTTGAGTCGTCAATGGTTCTTTAACGAAGGAGAGGAAGATTGGGAACTGGTTTGAACCACACATTAAGTACTTAATAAGGAAAATAAAATGAATCAGCTTACAAATTTTCGGTAGTTAAATATATCCTAGTACACATATATCCTGTCTGAAATGTCTCCTTTTTTATTTTTTCAATGGAGACTTGTAAGAGTAATTCATTCTTTTTGTGTATGTGAAGAGTAATTGATCATTGTGAGAACTTATGTTTGATTGTGGGCACACTATTTTAGACAAAATCAAACCAAGTTGGCGGAGCCCTATTTTTACCCGAGTCTCCTCTTTTTTCACCTCTCCCATCCAATCACTCCCTCTCTTCTTTTCTTTGTCTAATCTAACTGCTAACTTATATGGGGATTATTCAATTCAAGACGGTTCCAGCAACCCTTGAGCTTTCTTTGAGAACTGTGTCACGGAACTTAAAATTAAGCGGCATAGGAATTGAAATAATCCTCTGGGTTATATTTTTTTATTCCTTCTGAAAATGTAGACTTTAACTGACCCCTAAAACCTTAACCTGGGTTCTCTCCTTAAACCCGCACCAAAAGTAACTATGTCGCTATTCTCAAGAGCCACTTGAACCACCAGAGTCAAGCTGATTCTTTCTTGCCAACAACATTTACAATCTCCCCACAAATCCGTGTATGTCTAATCTGAAGCACAGGTATCCAAGAGGTTTAATCAGCAATCGTCACCTTTAGCCATTGCATATTAATTAAAGATTCTCTTATTACCTTTTAGGAAACCTTTATCCAGATTTTAAAACCCTAAATCCTTTGTTCTCTCTGCAAAGTTTCACTCTTCTCATAAGCTTATTTTGGAAATTCATTAGATTAACCTATGTGACAACTATTTCTAGAATCATGGCTCTAACTTTCCAAGTCACTTTAGTAAGAGTATCAATCTTGCATCACCACATATGAGCCCATTCAATATTTTCAAAATTTGCTTATTACATCATGTATCTGTCTTCTTTTTCAAAAAAAATTCTAAAATGGTACTATTACCTCATTTATAATGTATTCTGTGCTTAATTACAAAACAAAAATAGCAGTAGCATCGAAATGATAAACCAAAAAAGAAAGGTGCAAAGTTGAATGGCTAGACATACCTCATGAGCAGATTTGCAGTAATCGTGAGCGGAACTCGAGAGAACATTGGACATACATGGAAGGCAGCAGATTTGCAGGGTCAAAAGATTGTGAACCTGGAGATGAAGACATACATGAAGAATATCAGAGACCAGAAAAGCATATAAACATGTCATCATTTCCTCAATTCTAAAAGATGCAAGAGATCATGAACAAAACTCAAGAGAAAATAGGACATAAAGACAGACTTGATTAAACACAAATTCAATAGGAAACAGCATTAGTTACAGATTCATATCTCCATTCCACTCGAGAAAAGTCATGCAATAGGGTACCATATGCAGCTAAACCCTGCTCCATTATACAGCTTCTTAAAATGAGTATAACATACTTACACATAAACCAGCTAAACACTGCCTCTGTCACCCTCCCCAAAATACAGGAAAAAAATTTAGGTGGCAGTATAATCAGATGGATGAACTAGTGTATCGGGGCAGAGAGAAAACTAAGCGGCCCTGACGTAAGGCTTAAACCATCATATCAGATAAGCATAAGAACTTAAATATAAAGTTCTACATCTGAAAGTTAGTTATGCATTTATTTTAGTCCTACGTATAAAATAACACCCAAATAAAGTAGTTGAATCATATATAATCTTCCAAACAGTGCCGTGCTCTAGTAAAAGCCAAAAGAAAATTCATGTACAGTTTTAAGATCATAAAGTTGTGATTTCCATAATGGAACACACTACACAAACTAAATGTTGCGCATAAAGTTTCTGTGGTGAGAGCTGGTGGTAAATCTACCAAGGGGGGTTTCATGGTCCAAAACCCAGCCATGTTGCCAAGAAAAGAAAGAATGCTGTCAACTGAAAACGTCAGCTCCTCCTAGGCTAATTCTACTATGAATACTTTAAAAAATTTCATAGTCAGTAATTTCAAATTCTCATCAGACGACATTAAGCTCAATAGTGCACCACAACTCAGATGCTTCATTACAACCCTTGCATACCTAAACCAAAAGAGGTTATATTCCCTTATGCTTGTAACAAGAGTTCCTCATGCTTCAATGTAAAGCCTTTTCATTCTAAACTCGATATCCAAAGTATCCAAAATGACTTTTGTTCTACCAAAATACTATCCAATTTTATATCCAGCTTTACTTGCTTCTAGTAATTTATGATATAAAATACTGCAGTCAAGAAGGAAAGCAAGCTCTAATTAACTTTACATTAACTACACACATAGCAGACCTGAAATACGAATCAGTCAGAGCTTGCCCATCACAGTAACAATGCAAAACAAAATATCCTGAGAATAAAATCCTACGTGCTGCCAAGGTGCAACCATGGAAGTCTAAACATTATTCCATTGATTTGAAGTCTAAGACCCAACAGGCGTAAATAAGAGGATCAAGGATACCAAGCACCAAACTACCTCAACCACAGATCACAAGGAAATTCCTAAAAAATGCCACTGACAAGGGGTTTGGACACAAAACTAATGAGTCCAGTTCTAAAGAAAACCCAATTTTGCAGTAACAACTAAGAGGGGAATATTTAGAAAAGCATAGAAGAACAAACAAAGACTGGGAAAAGTCAGAAATTTAAATCACTTACTTGACTGGAAACTCATTCTGCAGCTCCATTGTTGAAAGTCTTCTCAATGAACAGCATACCTCATATTATGAATACACTCCCCTTACATTTATGCTGTTGTTGTTCTAAAAGAAGCGAGATACGGAAAGAAAGTTTCCTTAAGAGTATCTCTTGAACTCAACTCATTGAAAAAACTCATCAAAAAATTGAGCACTTTCTCACAAGTTCACAACTAAAAAATCTATGCCTTGAACAGTCGACTCCCGTTGTCCCACAAATTGTCTCACCATAGTTTTAGTAAATAAATGAATGACTATAGAACTTATAATCCATAAGTCAAAAGTGAAGGGGAAGAATGAAGACCTCTCTTTACATATGCCATGCACAATGAGAGAAGAGAACGAGGGGTGAGAGAAGAGAGAGAAAGAGGGAACACTTTACTAAGATTTTCCTAGCCGTGCCGACAAACTAACATGCACAATGAGCGAAGAGAACGAGGGGAGATAGAAGAGAGAGAAAGAGGGAACACTTTACTAAGATTTTCCTAGCCGTGCCAACAAACTAACTAAATTGTTCCACTAAGAAAACAGATACAAGGAATCTAACTCAAATTATAAGCAGTGAAAATTGACTTCAAACAGATTCAAGTTTCCTCGGTGCAAAGGTTTCCTGGACATAACAAATCAAGCAAGGGGTAACAGCTCATTCAAACTTCACAGCAAGCCTGCACCGGAGATTGTAAGTGATTTTGAGGAGCGCTTCCACTCATGAGCAGCATAACTCAATGGAAACCAACATACTCACTCGAGACCCCCAAAGTACGACATAAGCCACCCAACAACGTCTAACAAAACTAAAATAAAGCCCATGGCTAACAAGTTTGTTTATGTACTGCTGCAAAAATTTGGTTATTAGCACTAACAGTAAAACAATGGCGAACGAAATCTTAAACGGCAATTTTCTATTAAATCTATGAAATATAATAAGTTAATGGTCTGTCCTTGAGTATTCAGTCCAATATCCCAAGAAATTTTTACATGCAGTTCTAATATTAATTGATGTTGCTACACCTTTTACGGATTCAATATGAATTCTTCCTTATTCCTTGTTTTGGGACTAAAAATGATATTACCAATCCCACAAAGCTTACTCCTTTAAATAATTTTGCATGCATTAAAAAAATGTCTTAACTCATTGTTTGTAATTAGAGTCTGAGTCTCGCCAAATACAACCAAAACTCCACAACTGGTATCAATCCAGAAATCTCCAGAACATCAAAATCAAAATCATAACCAACTAACCAAATAAACATGAAGAGTTGATTCACACCCTGTTGATTTAATGTGGGCTGTACAAAATAATACAGTAGTTTTAGAGCGTTTATCTTCTCATGTGTGCGGTTGTGTGATATGTTCTTCCTTTATAGGATTCCATGAAAAGTTAACTTTCCTGAGTTTTAAGCTAGCTAAGCTAGCACGACCATTATGATGTGAAAATGAGGCAACGATAATATAATAGAATGGACAATATTACAAGATGTACAAAGTCAACAGACAGGAAAAAAACAATATTGCTTAATACAAAAGAGGAACAAGAAACCCTAGGCATATAAAAATAAAAAATACATTGATCGTAGGTTAGCACATAACAAATTCACCAAGTGCTTACATAATAATAATGAAAGAAGAAATGACAAGCTACAATGATAAAGGACTTGAGTCCTCATATGAATTGAAGAAGTTGTACTACCAATTATCAAAGATCAACTTATAAACATTCTGGGCCTGTTTGGCACAGCATCTGGAAGAACGCTTTCAAATAACCAAAAGTGATTCTGAAAATGTTCGACAGAAAACTTAACAGTCCTTTAGGATTGTAAAAGCACTTGGGACTTTGATAAAAAATTGTTGTGCTTCTAGTAAAAGTTCTTCTAGCAGGACTGCTCCCCTAACACTGCAGTAACCAAAGTGCACAGGCAAGAAAGCTTCTAGGGCAGAAACCTAATTAGCCTTAATATATATGGGCAAACAAGATGCAAAGAGAAACTAACCTTAAACAATAAATAGGAAGAGTATTAATAAACCATATTTGCTAAGATAACAGAGTTCACAAGTAAATGACACGAATTCATAATCAAGGGACTGTAAAACACTAGCAATGTTCTTGCTTCAAACCGGACGAAATTCAACAAACTGACCTAACAAACCAAGCATCTGATATATGAAGAGCACAAAAAAAGTACAAACAAAATTCAGAAAATATTATCAGCTATCCATATACAACAGTTGGCAATGTTTATATATTAAGGAAACGGAGCATTGATATCATAATGAAATTCATTTTAGAGAACATAGTACAATATGTGCATCAAAGAACACCAAATTATGAAAACTTTACTGCACCATCAAGGCAATTTGATTTGTGATGTGTTTAGGTACAGTTACTAAAGGCCAAATAAACAAGAAAATTTCCAAAATGTCTACTATCAGATAACACTTCAATCACAGACCTAAGCATCTAATATGCTGCAGCCAAGATACCAGTCAGGACAGGGCTCAGCATCATGGATGAACTAGCTTATCTGTGTCCCTGAGCTCGCTGCATGTCATAAGCACCTGACGAACCGGGCATAGGAGTATACTGAGGAAAATTTTCAGCACCATTATGTACCTGAACAATGAGGGAGGAACTAATTAAAACATATCCTCACTTAGAAGAAAATAATGTATGCATAATAGCCCAGCAGTTTACACAGATATGAATTATTGCATGGGCACATACAAAACAAAAACATCAATGCTTTAATCAGGCATGCACACACACAACGCCTATTATGAATTCATGAAAGAGAACAAAACTTACAGGATTCATGCCATAGTTGGCAGGATAGGGATTTCCTGCATATCCTGCTTCAGGATTGCCATAATTTGCATTATAACCTACAGCTTTAGAGAAAATTAAAAGACAAAACCCACAGCAATTTCATGTGAAGTTCCAAGTAAAGAACATATAACATATAATTATCATCAATCTGTGCATATGGCTTCAATGTTACAGTGACAACCAATTTAAAAAAGCTCCAATGTATACCTGGATTTCCAACAGCAGCTGCAGCTCGTGCTCTCTTCTCAGTATTAGCAATTTCTGCACGAAGTTTCTCCAGCTCCCTAGCCATCGATGTCAAATTCTTCTCCATGATCTGACCATGCTCATAATTCTCTGCATATCCTTTCTTTTCATACTCAATGGCAGCTCTAAATGCAAACAAAAACTCATATGGTTAAAACAAATCCATAGATTATAGTCAAAACATAAAAATAAAATTCAAGCACAAAAATAAATCATGCAAAATCTACCTAGCACGTTGCAATTCCTGTTTCATTGCTTCAATTTCTGCTCTCAAAGCTGGTGCTTGTTGCAAATCAGCAGTCATTCTAGCCAGATCTTGTGTCATTGCTTGTGCCTGAGCCGAGAGCTCCTGCCTCGCAGCAGTGAGCTCCTTGATATCAGCACGAACCTGAAGAAGTTCATTCCGCATGGCCTCAACTCCACGAAGGTCCACTTCCAAACGAACAGACTTGTCATACAAATCTCTCATTTGAACATCCTTGTCTGCCCGCAGTGAATCAACATGGTAAGCCATTCGCTGCAACTCAAATTGGGCAGCCTCCAATTCCTGCTTAAGTGCAACATGGGTTGCAGCCAGCCTTTGGTTATCACCTAGAAGTCCTTGTATATCTTGATGTTGAGCCGCAAGATGCTCCTCTATTATTGCAGGGTGGGGAGGACGTTGTCTGGGACCCATGCCAAGCTGAGATTCTCTCATTTCCTCGACTAATGCTGGATGGGGCATCGGCCCAAGTCCTCTTCCATATGGGGATTCATGAACCGGAGGGGGCAATCCAGTATGAGGTGGTCCACGATTTCTTCCAGACATGATTTTCTTTTACTCAAAGACTCAACTATAAAAATATGCTCTTCTCAAAAATATCAACCAAGCCCGTTCAGAATCAAACCTGAATGACATCAAAATTAATCTCAATTATCTACCAACGACGAACTTATTTCTCACAGCCACCATCAACCTTAAAAGTTCAGCCAAACAATCAAAACCCAGCTAGAAACCTCAAATTTTAAACATTCGAAGGCATAATTCTAACCAAGTCTCTTTCTTCTAACTCACTCAACTATATTAAAACAAAATCGGAATTATAATCCATCAATTTAATCCACATCCATCTACCTAACCCTACGTTTGGTTGCCAAGAAAACACAAGAAATTAAAAAAAAAATCAGAATTCCCAAAATTATTACAACCCAGCAGAACTGAAACCAACTGGAATAATTACATTCAAAAAATTCGAATCATATTTTCGTTTTTCGCGCCAACCAAACAGAAAAGGAATTATATCCTGCGGAAAGTAAAGTGATACTCGACGAAGGTAGTTGAAACAGTAGGAAAAAAGCGCAAATTGTAGAAATTAATAACCTTCGGGAAGGTAGAGGGCTAAGAGAATCGTACGGAGTGGCTTCTGGGCATGGATTCCGTCTCCGAACGAGCTCGGAGTGGTTCAGAAACCCTAGCACTGCAGATTTTCCTCGCGGGGCTGTCTTGTGAATGAGAAGCAAGGAGGAATTGGAAATAGAATTTCATTTTTCTTTTTCTTTATTTTAAAATTTTTTTTTTAATAAACCATAATATTCGGTAAACTTTAACAAAAAAACCATATTTTTACACTAAATAGTCAATTCTGATACTATTTACTTTACACGTTATTTTGTTCTTATCGTTAAAACTCAAAGTTTTTAAGTTTTTTTCATTAGTTTTCCTTAATATCTATCTGTGAGCCTTTGCAAGGGTTTGCCATAAAAATGTAGTTCAACTTCGCATTTGATGAAATCGAACTTAAGAACTCTCACTTATAAATTACAAAAAATATCACTACATTGTAGGACCAAATGATGTGGTGCGAGTTTGTGTGATGGGCCATTGGGCCCCAAATCATATCCGAATGACATGTTTAGTTAGAAGTCGCCCATAAACACGATCAACCCGACACAATGAGTCAACCATAATTTAATGTCAAACTTGTCATTCAGGAGAGTTGAATCTAAATACCTCTTACTTACAAATGGAATAACATAACTCTTCAACTTTTTCGGACTCGTTTGGAAGTGTTTTTAAAATGACTGAATGTGTGTTTAGTTAAAATATTTTTTAAACCAATCCGTAATAAAAATCCATGTGGATCCTAGAAAAACAACTTCGGGCTGTTTGAAAGTGTTCATGTAAGCAGTATATATATGTGGTGCTTCTTTCAAAAGACACTTCAAGTGTTTTTGAAATCCAAAATTAATTTCCCCAAAAACGTTTACAGTCATTTTAAAAACATTTTCAAACGAGATGTTAGCCCATCTTCCGTAATTCATGAGTAGCGTCATGCTCTGTATACTAGTTTGTTTTTTTCTATTTTTTTTTTACTTTTGCTTGTGAAGAAATTGAAGTTCTACTATAAAACTAGCTGGTAATATAAGGCGTAGCTAACTTATTTATAAACTCATGTTAGGTCCCTTAATCTCAACATCTTGCCTAATTTCGCAAGATTTCTAAGTTGTGTGCTATTGACTTCTCTTCAATGAATAAATCACCAATCGAGAAAAGAAAATAACCTAGACCGCCACATATTTATTAAAAATTGGAAAGACTTTTATAGCACGAATATACTAACACAATAATATTCCGTATCATATAAGTTACTCTTGTTACACTTGCAACTCCAATACTTTTTTTTCTATCTAAATGCATGCATGTGCAATTGTTGATGGAACCACATCCCTTGCTTCCTATTTATCCTCCATTGTCCTCAACATAACATTGTATGTGACATCGTGTCACATTCAACCCAAGAAATGTCAAATCTCTTTATGACACAAGGAGATTATAACGGCAATTAGTCCTGCATTTGCGTTTGGACGAGGACTTTTAAAATTTTATATAATTAAAGATAAATTTACTAAGTAAGTTAGTGATGTAAAACAAATGGCAAAATAGATTTAAGAGGAAATGAACCGTCGAAAGATAAAATGACGCAATGAAAATTTGCAGATTTGGTGTACAAACTTCGATTTGGGCCCGTGATACATTTTCAGGAAAGAACAACAACACGAGTCAAACACATTGCTTTGTTGTAACATACGATGGATTTTGACCATCTAGGATCATTTCAGCATCCAAAACAGCATTTTAATTTTCATAATAAAAATTGAACATTTAAGTTGTCATCTGATTAATGTTGAAATAATGTAATTTTAAATGTTGGGAGTCCTTTAAGTTGTTCAATGAGTCGTAATATGTCTACTTAAAGCCTTTGACTGTTTCAATGTACTTATTCAATCATCAATTAAACAAACAACTTTTTGGGATTTCTCTCTATTTTCTGGTGGATTCCAAATTAACAATTCTTCAAGAATTTATGTTTATAATCCTTATACACTTGTGCTACGTCAATTAGTCTCAAGTTCGACTAAAATTATCACTAAAATTATCAACGAATCCAACCGTATCAAACACATACACAACGAAAACTTGAAAGGGTATCACTTTTGCCTCTGTTCTCTCAAGGCAATATTATCCGCACTCCCGGTTTGTCATCTTGCACTCATGTAAGTAGTAGTGGTAGTAAAATAGAGAGAGAGAGAGAGAGAGAGAGAGAGAGAGAGAGAGAGAGAGAGAGAGAGAGGTTTAATTAGGGTTTAAAACAACCATGAAGACCCCATGACTGCCTTTACTCCCCAACGGTCGTAAAAACTCAACCAAATAGAGCAACTAAGCCCTGCAGCCAGGCGGTGGACCTTCACGTGTAGACCGTACACTATCAATGCAGAATTACTGCATGCACCTTTCTACGTATAAGAAATCATCATTCTTTTTCTACCTTTCCAAATATTCCCCATACAAAACCATCAAGAATCTAACTTTGTTTGTTACTGCACACCATATAAGGAGACGAGGGAATTCCATGGAAGCCTTGTGGAATTTAGAAGACAAGTGGAAGCTCTCAACCCAACAAGCACTTCTCCTCTTAGTTTCCGCTGCCTTCGCAGTCATCGGTCTTTGCATGGCAGCGACGGTTTTGCTAAAGAAGGCTCAGAGGAAGCAGGAGCAGCAGCTTGTGATGAGCAGCCAGCGAGAAGCTGTAGTAGGACAACCGAAATGGTCTGAGCCGAATTGTGGTTGGGGGTCGATAAAGAGAGCGTTGGTGAGCTCGGTGCGGTGGAGCAGAAGGAGCAAGTGGGAGGAGAGGCGGGGCGGGAGCTGGAGAGAGATGCCGCTGCCGCTGCTGGACAAAAGGGTTGAGGTTGAAGTGGGGTGGCGGAGCCATAACTCGGACTCTCCTGTGTGGCAGAGACCTATACTTATGGGTGAGAAATGTGAGCTTCCTAGATTCAGTGGGCTTATTCTCTATGATGAAAGAGGTCGGCCTCTGTGCGACTCCCACAAGGAAAGTAGAAACCAGGTAAAATTATCAATGCACTACTTTTTTCTTTTGAATTTTAACTGATTAAATTTATCTAATTATTTCCTGAGATCATAAATTTGCTAGTTGTTAACCAATTTCACAATCTTTAGCATGCAGAGACTAAGACATATTTTTCTGTGCATATATAGTAATGTAGTGATCACATGACACATTAAATATCTGACGGTCTTGGCTTCATCAAGTTAGCTAAAGCAGAATACTCTCCTTGTGCACTCAAGTTTGAATTTTCTTCTTTGCTGTGTAGCCTATCGCCATGACTTTTCTTTTACATTCTCCTTTTCTAGAAACCATTTTATCGATCCCAATCCGCCCAAAAATGGTAGGATTAGAAGGGAGGACTAAAAACCATTATTCTCTACCTTCAATACTTGAATTTAGAGGATTATTCATTCAAATTCAAACACCAATGTCAGTAAATTACGTAAATCCGGGCAAAACACGGACATTTATCGATTGCTCATTGTGTACATTGAGACCGAAGAGAAACCTTATTTTTTGATCAATTGTTGCTTCTTTCTAAATCAACATATTGTTTTTGGTTTGATGTGCAGGAAAAGACTGGTGGTGTTGGCAGAACAACTTTGAGGGACTTGCTGTAGTTTTTCTAACAGAAATGTTCTAAAAAGATTTACCAACACAGTGTGGTAGGGATTTCAGTAGCCATGTGGTCCAGTTTTCTTCAATATATATAATAACCCTTTGTGAGAAAGGAAAAAATGAAGAGAAGATATGTGATCTAGCTACCAATGATGTGCATTATGAAGGTTTTGTGTTCAATGACAGAGAAACATAGTGTGCACCTAACAGAATGCATGATCGCTTCTCGCTTCATCCGACGATGATTAGAGAAATGTTATTGGCATTCCAAAAGAGTCATTCTGAACTCGTCTGTAAAGAAAAAGACGAGGGAGGATCCAGTGCAGAATGACTACTTTCGAGTGCTAACTTGATGATCCATAGAGGTTCCCATGTTCAAAATTAATCTCCCTTTCCCATCCACGTTCAAGAAAATATATAAACGGAGTTTCGAAACTCCGCATGTTAACCAACAAATATCTTAGAAAGCTTGGCAGTAAAGATATCGAAAAACTTGTTTCTGCAGAATTATTGCTATCAGCTAATCATCAGTCGATCTTATAGTTCCTTTCAGTCTAAATTAAAACTTTCTGCTCACAGCCTACTCTCATGCCTCAAGTACCTAGGCTTGCTACCCACGTTTCTTTTAAACCCTCCCGTGTTTTTTCGGAACAGAGGTTTCTAGTGAAGATAATATTTCTGCTATGTTCTGATGGTTTGCTAGAATGTTTCTTCTAAAACTTGAGGTGTATGAGTCAACAATTTAACTTTTTAAACGTTTTATGCTATACCACAAAAAAAGTTTATAATTCAGAAGACGATTGAATTTTCCTAAACTCCCTAAAAGAATACGAAACAAAATAGAAACACAAGCAAAGAGTAAAGTATTTCATGATTGATTCTGAAACAGGCAGGCACAATCACAAATCACATATACAAAAAGAAGCTGAGAAAGGAAAGTGGAATTGAAACCGCGGCACTGCATTGAGGCAGGATGTGTTTCACATCCGGACCTTGACTTCTTCCGTTCTTTTCCTTAAGATATATCAAAAGTGAAGCTGCTAAAGCCATATAAAAAAGGGCTTTACAGGTTTCAAGTTGATGTAGGAATGATGGGAAGGAAGTTGATTTCACGATCTTAAACAATTCCATCGTAGAAGTCATACCAAGTCATGAATGCTACAGATTAAAAAATGGGGAAAGTGGTGTGACAAACTCTTCAAAATATCTATGATACTCATAGATGCACTTTCATACATAAACAACAGAAGACGAGGAGAGAGGGAGTGGGAGGGGGATGACCCAAGACGCAGAGGAGATTGAAAGGCCGAAGAACATACTTTTTGCTTTCAAGTTGGTAACAAGCACCACTCTTCACTTCAATCGTTTTGCCTACTTGATAAGATTCGTTCTCACCTATTAACAGTCAAAGATGAATTCATTAGATTGGCATGACATTAACTTTACATTTACACAACTATTCAGGGAAGGGAAACCCATTACCCTGGCCACCAAACTATTTTGTGTCGGGAAAATGGAGCATATATAGCATTTATTTGCGATATATTTGACGCTCAGAAGGATCAGACTTGTACATGCTAGAAATGAGAAGAATAAGGTTTCCTTTTGCAATGAATAAAATAGATAAAAGATAACACTTACGTCAAAGTCAAAACACATGCACTCTTCTTGTTGCTGGAACTAATTTATTCATATGAAACTAACAACGGTTCTCTGGAGTCCTCTTTAGATGAATCCTTATAATAAAAGTACAACGCTAATTGTACAATCCCCAAAATAGTTCCTACTCCATTTGGGACCTGAAATGCATCAATAATGATACTGTTAGACCTGAGAAACCAGGAACATTAAACTGAATTGACGGCTCCAAATATCCTTTATAAAAACTAAGAAAAAAACATAGAGAAAATGTGCTGCAAGGAAATCTTACATAAACGAAGGGATCAAAATTAAAAATTCCATAAAGCAAGAAAGAGGTGCTCATTAGGAAGGTGGAAAGGGAGAGATAGAATGGCATAAATTCAACACTCCGTGTCTGGATCACCAAGTTCTGCAAAAACACAACAAAGTAAATAAGGTCAACGCAACAAAATACATAATTGATACTGACTTATACCAAAATAAAGCAAGTACCGCAAATGCCTTGGATTAACTTACAATTATAAACAAAGGAGACGCAAACATTGATATTAAAGAAGCACAACTAAGCAGTCCAACAACTAGCCGGCGCGTAGCAGCATCAGTAATTTGCAAGCTCCCAAAGACCATGATTGCAATTAGACCACAAACTGCTGCCAGCAATCCCAGCATCCTCACCTGCAAAGATAGAGGGAACTAACGGCACTTAGAACATAATAAGGCTTTCAGAAACTTCACTAAGGGTACAACTGTGAGTAGTATAAGTAACCTTTTTTGATTTCTCAGCATATATTATGAAGAGGGTTATGTACACTAATTGAAACACCGCACCAACTGAATTGACCGTCATAACCAATATGTTATCAGAAGATACAATAGGTGATCCATACCACGTGCAGATCAAGCAGTTCAAAAGGGCATATATGTATGGGAGCCCTGAGAACTCTTCAGTGGCATGGTTTCTTATTATTCTTCTAAATGTGTGTCTGAAAGTAAGAAAATAAAGCCAGTTATAAACACAAACTGGGGAGTAAATGAAATAAAAATCGTTCTCTTTCTCATGTTTTCTGACAATGACATTTAAGTATTACCAAACTGATCAAAACTTACGCTGGTGAAACAAACAGCCCAAAAGCAAAGATGTTCCCTGCAACAGATATTAAAAATAAGTGGAACCCCAATATGTGTATATACTATATACATATATCATAATTATCATGGATTCAATTGCGAGAATCAGAAAGCACCACAGGCTGTTGATCACACTGACCACATGGTCAATTTAACACAATTAACAGCTTTTGGAAGCATTGCATGGCCAAAAGGCCCAAAACGCCTTGTAATAGCATTCACAAACACTACACTTGTAATATACTATATATATAGATATATACATACACACACATGCATGTGACAATACGATTCAGCACTCAGAATTTGAAACGGTGGGAAAGAATTTTTTTTAATATTTTTATACTTAAATTGCCTGTGTAACTGGGTGTTTCTCCTTTTAAAGTTCTAAGACATGATTTGCACACATGTCCAGGCATTAATATTTAAAAATTGTAGTGTAACACAAACATGCCGTTATAGTTCAACGCAAATTAGTGATGTCTGATATTCTGAATTTGTTATTGAGCACAGTAAACCTCAGAAACTACTAAAACATGGAAGTTAAAGCATCTGAAATCGAGTAGCTACTTAGATGGGCAAATCCCACATTTATGAGTCAACAGCTTCGTTTAGAGTAAGCGGCAAAAGCTTCAAGTCAACCTAACATGTGAATGTGCGTTTTTGCTCAGAGTTGAATGCATTGTTGTAGCTCAGTAAAAGTACAGCATTTTTGGAAGCCAAAAATCCTTTAGAGACAATAGAATGCGATCGGGACATTGCTTTCAGTAAATGCCATATTCCTAGCATCGAAATTTCTACTAAACAGGGCGAGAGGAAGATGTTTAAACCCGAGAACAGTCATGAAAATAAACACATGACAATACAATCAAATTACTTCCTTATTGCTGCTAAAGCTTTGAAATTTGACTTTTCGGGTGATACTTTGGGAGCCCCGCAAAAAGAGAATTCTTTGGTGATGCACAAACAATTGGTTTCATATATTTACAGTTCTCTCTAATCACTATAAAATAACATCAGTATCTCTTCGGATTTCAAAACTCTCGTTGACACCGACTTTGAACTAACAATCCTGAAATCAAACTATAACCTGGGCTGCTGAACTAACATGAAGACTTTTGCCTAGTTGACTAGAAATCAACAATCTCCTCTTCCATCACAATCCAAGACAACAGAGCCAACAGTTTCCCACAAAAATTAACCTGCTGGAATATCACACATACACCAAAAAAGGGCTTTCCTTTCCTTTTGCAATAAATGCAATACCAAAAACCAACAAGTTCTTCAATAGTAAAGGTTTAATCTTTAATGGTTAATTTCCAGTTCTTAATTAAGGAAAAATTAAATCCAAAATACAATAACAATTCAGACAATGCTCACAGAAAAACCCACAACTTAAAAAGGGGTTGAAGAGAATAAAAATACCTGCAATTCCAGCTGCATCTTTGCAGATTATGAGCACGGAATTTGAAGCTGTAAAAACCATCAGTCCCTTCAACTCCAACTCCACGGTAAACCAGCCAGAAAAATAACCCAAACCACCTTTTCAAATAAAACACAAGAGGGTTATAGTTAAACCCTCTCTCTCTCTCTGAAAGATTGGAAGTTTAGCAGAGCCCAGGTCTCTGAGAAAGGGAGAGGAGCAGTCTCCAAGGCTTTCAAGACTTCAACTTGGGAAGTTTGGCAGAGACCCTTATGATTGTTTCTGCCTCATTAATTATTTATATTTAGACAATTTACAAATGTACAACTGTCCAAAGGCTTTCAAGGCTTCAACTTGGAGAATGAAGATTTATCCGGATCCATGTGAGGATTCCGGATTCTTTAATTGTGTGTGTTTATCGTATATCATACAGAAAATATTTAAAATTGAACACAAATTGTACTTGACGAAAACTGACCGCATAATTTACGATGAACGAAAACGATTAAGATCCCATGGATCCTCATAAAGAGGATCCGAAGAGGTTCTTCATTCCAACTTGGGAAATACAAGATAGAGACTATTAAAAGCTGGAAAATGTAATGGATATTATTTTTTAGTATATTTTGTAGATTATATGATACATTCATTGATGGTTAAATTCTTTCTTTAATGATTTAAAGAAAAAATTTCAACAATCGTCGCATTATATAATATACAAGATATAAATATAGGGACTTATAGCCTCTTTGAATCAATCTCGTGGGGATCCTCCTGACGAATTGATCTCATCCGTTGGTACAAATCCAACCGTCGACTTAGTTCCAAGTCTTGCTCTTCCTTTCCCCAACTATCTCTTCCCCTTCCTCTCTTCTCTCAACTCCTCTTTCTCCCTCACTTCAAAGCACCCGCCGCCACCATGTCACAAACTGAATTCAATCATCAATCGTCATATTATATAGTAGGCTTATTGTGTACATTATGCGTTCCATGTTAATTTGAATGAATGTGATGCCTGCATACAGAAATCAAGCAACTTGAGTTTTATACATCTAACATTATTGTTACACTAGTGTAAATTCAAATATTGGTATCATAATTAAATGTTTCAGTCCACTATAAAAGTGTAATTTCTATGAGTTTAATATATTGGTATCATAATTAAATGTTTCGGTCCACTATAAAAGTGTAATTTCTATGAATTTAATATATTAGTATCACACTTATTTTTTTCGACCTAATATAAGAAAACACGTAACCTTCTTGTGTTTCTAACACAAAAAAATGGGAGTTTTTATAGAAACTGAGAGGAAAATATCTTTCTGAAATATTACAATTTCATTACTTAACAAAATAATTACATGAGTATGGTATTTATAGTCATAACAACAATAACAACTAATAACCTCTCTAACTAACTTGTACACATAGCACATTACAAGTAGGTAATTAAAAACAGAATGTATGTCATGATTTGGCATCCTCATCTTTACACCCCCTCAAGCTGAGCTTGGAAGAAGTTGGAGTTCCAAGAGATAGCTTGGATTGAAGAAGAAGAAACCAGTTCTTGGTCAAAGATTTAGTGTGAATATCAGCAATTTGGTCTTCAGTACACACATACCGAACTTGAAGCAGATTAGCAAGAACCAACTCTCGAATGTAATGATAATATATCTCAACATGCTTTGTTCGAGCATGAAAGACAGGATTGGAGGCAAGAGAGATAGCAGATATGTTATCACACCAGATTGTAGGTTTGGAAGATAAGGGAAAACCAAAATCATGAAACACCTTACAGATCCATGTAAGTTCAGCAGCAGTATGGGCCAGAGATCGATATTCAACTTCAGTGGAGGATCTAGCCATTGTAGGCTGCTTCTTAGCACTCCAGCTGATTAAGTTTGTGCCAAGATATACGCAAAAGCCGCTGGTGGAACGACGATCAAATAAACAACCAGCCCAATCGGCATCAGAGAATGCAGAAAGATTAAGAGAACTTGTCTAAAACCATAAACCATGATCAGAGGTGGCTTTGAGGAATCGGATAATCCTTTTAGCAGCTTGCAGATGAAGATCAGCGGGAGTATGCATGAATTGGCATACTTGATTGACAGCAAAAGAGATATCAGGCCTAGTCCAAGTCAAATACTGTAAGGCACCAACCAGGGATCGATATTCAGTGGGATTGGAGAGAGGAATGCCACTGTGATCCAGTTTAGTAGTGCCAAGAGGAGTACAACATGGCTTGGCACCGCCCATTTTGGTTTTCTGAAGCAAATCCAGAAGATATTTGCTTTGATGAAGAAATAATCCTTTGGATGAGCGTTGAACTTCCAACCCCAAAAAATAGTGAAAAGGACCTAAGTCCTTGACTGGAAACAGAGACCCAAGTTTCTGAATAAACTGCTGGCACACTGTCGGATCGGGACCACTGATCAAGATGTCATCCACATAAACCAATACTATAACTAGAACAGGATCTTTGATGACAAAGAGAGATGCATCAGAACAAGATTGAGTAAAACCAAAGGACTTGAGAGCTTGAAAGAGTTTATCAAACCATGCCCGAGGAGCCTGTTTAAGGCCATATAGAGACTTGTTGAGTTTACACACATGATTTGGCAGATTAGAATCAGTAAAACCAGGAGGTTGTTGCACAAACACCTCTTCTTGTAAGTCACCATGAAGAAATGCATTACTGATGTCAATCTGATTTAGAAACCAATTATACTGAACTGCGACAGTTAACAGAATCCGAATAGTGACTGGTTTAGCTACAGGGCTAAAGGTTTCTTGATAATCCAGACCTTGTTGTTGGTGAAAGCCCTTGGCAACTAATCGGGCCTTGTATCTGTCAACAGAACCATCAGGCCGTTTCTTAATGCGAAATACCCATTTGCTTCAGAAATATCTTTCTGAAATATTACAATTTCATTACTTAACAAAATAATTACATGAGTATGGTATTTATAGTCATAACAACAATAACAACTAATAACCTCTCTAACTAACTTGTACACATAGCACATTACAAGTAGGTAATTAAAAACAGAATGTATGTCATGATTTGGCATCCTCATCTTTAGTTTTAACGAAAAGCTCACGGTACTGTTCATTTTAACGAAAAACCATATTTTTACACTAAAAAGTCAAACCTGCTACTATTCACTTTACCTTTTATTTTGTCCTTATCATTAAAACTCAAAGTTTTTAAGCTATTTTCATTAGTTTTCCTTATAAAAATCTCTTTCATGTCATACTTACGGTATCTTTTACCCACGTTGAGAACTATGGATGGAAAGTGTTAATTTGAACAAGAGCTGACACGGGTGGGCCGCCCCAATCACATGTATCATGACTATATGTTTAAGGTACTATTATATTTGAGTCGTATCAGCAACAAAAGAATATGCACATTATATGCCGTTTTCGGTGCATCTGGGTTCCATAATTTTTTTTTTATGGATAATGGTACCCAAATCAACAACTTAGGTCAAATTTTAAATCAAATGACGTGATTGTTGTTAATTAAAGTTTTTATTAACGTATTGTTTTTTATTAATGAGACATCATATGATTTACAAATTTAATCTAAAAAATTAAACTTCCAATCATTTTTTTTTAAATAATTTTTTTTTTTTTGATCTACCCAGAACTTCCTACTTAGCAATTTCATTCTTTGGGTAATTTAACACTCTACACAACCGGTCACCAAACCAATCAATTTCAGGCGCTTGATCAAATCAGACGGTGAGAAGAAGTCCTGTACGCGAACCCGGTCGCACCGAAGGAAAAATCGCATTAGGCATGCAACCCAAAAGATGTCTCTGGTGCCAAAAGATCCTACATACTCCCCCCATTCGACACTTCCATCATGACATATCATGAACATGGATCAGATCGTGGTTAATATTTAGACTGAATCTGGATTCGAAAGATATATGTTGGGGGAATTGAGAGACTGAATTATGGGTTATTTAAAATGGTGTTCAATCTAAAAGAATTTTAGGGTTTCAATTATCAAGGTTATAAATATGATTGTCAAAGTTTTACCTAAGACAGTAAGATCATTGGATTTTCAACTATCCTTGATTAACATTCATGAGTAATTCAAATGAAAAATGTAGAGTGAACTGGCAGAAGAGAAGAAGAAAAAAAAACAATACTGTCCGCATTAGGAATAAAATTACCATTTTGCAACTATACAATTAAAGTTAAGAGAAGAAATTGGTCAATTATAATAGTTTATGGGGATCTTCAAAAAAAAAAGTTTATGGGGTAATTGGCTAAAATTAAAGTTCATGGAAGAAATTGTCCAATTATAAAAAAATTAAAAACTCAAGGAGCAATGACTAAAATTAAAGTTGAGTGGAAAATTGGCAGCTCCTTGTAAGTTCGAGAGAAAAATCGACAAATATCTCATTATTTGTTCTAGTACTTTATTTATTTTTGCTTTGCTTAGATCAGATATTTTCAAAAAAGTATAGGAGGTGATGAAGGAAAAATAGTTTGGTGCTTTTTCAAAAGCTTGGTGTAATCTACTTATTTGCCACCAAACAAAACCAACAAGTAGTTTCCCAAAAAAAAAAAAAAACAAAACAAAACCAACAAGTACTTCAACATGGCATAGTATATAGATTATGTTTTTTTTTAAACAATAAAGCTTAATAAAAAAAGCTTATAAAGAAAAAACAATTAAAAAAGAAAAATTACTAAACTTAATACAATATTAACTCTAATTATGTGCCAAATTAGCTAAATCAACAATGAATTGTTAATTGTTAAGAAAAAAGTTAGTGAAGATCAAATCCGCACTAGAATGTATAAAATATAAACGTAGTTTCTTTCCTCCTCATAATAAAGTGCTATATATATGCCTAATATGTTTTTTAATTAGACCATCTTCAACCTTTGAGTTAAAACTTAAAATTTAGGTTTTAAACTAACCCAATCATTCTCTAATGGTTGAGCCTAAAACAAGTTTTGGTTAAAACCTAAACTTTGGGCAAATTTAACACACAATTCTACCCGGGGTTAAAAAGGATGGCCTACCTTATGAGCGTGGATGCGCCCGAAAAGTGGAGGTCACAACAAGGCGATGTGCCCTGAGTGTGAGACACTCAAGGGCTGACAGGAAGTGGGGCCCGCTCCTAACGAGCATGTCGGCCACACAAAATGAGCCCAACGACTCTTTTTCAATGAAGATTTTAATTTTTGGGTCGTTAATTGATCTAGCGGTCCAAATTCAAACCTATTTAATTTTAAAAAATTTAATACATTAAATCCAACG